TATGCATGATTGTATTATCATGTCAAATACCAACCATATGGACCACAGACATGCTGCAAAGTTTGGTATATACAAATTACCTTCTTAGCCACCTCTGCTCCAAAGCGATTCGCTTGCTTCACACCCTCAAGGAAACCTTCAGCTGCATCTAAGATGATACTAATCGAGTAACATAAAAAAACCTTAACGTCAACAAAGTATCACAAACCCGCAACCTATTCGAAAACGACCATGAATGAGATTACATTGTATTCGTGATGAGGATAATAGCATCCGCAGTAAATAAGACCCTACTTTATTCCGGATGGAACTATGTCTGGCAGTCCATATTTTTCTGATTTAAATGATCAATAACATATATAACAATATAAGTTACAAAATCTCAAACATTTCTATTAAGAAAACTAAATCACCACAATGTTTTAAAGTATGATGGTGTTAGGTACGTACAAAGTAGTTTTAAAATCTCACCGAGATTTATCGACGAACTCTTCGGCACCTTTGAGGATTAAAATGGCGGCGTCGAGAAGTATGCGGCTTTTGTCCACTATTTCCCGGGCTGCTTTCATCGCGAAGATGGCAACATCAAGCAGATATCGGCTCTTGTCTACTACCTGCTCAGCCAACTGTTTGACAAGAGATCGAGAGACACATTGTACTTGAAGCTAAACTACATTACGTCAAGGTGCAAGGCACTCTATCTATAGTTTCTATCGATTTACCATTCATCATCACCTACTACTTGTAGTAGTATTCCTGGATGTTGGTCACATAACTATTAATGTTTACCATGTCATTACTAATTACACAGCAAAGCAAATTTAGATAAGAGATGCGTCACATACCCACAGTGCTCCTTGGCAAATGGCCCGACCAGCGTTTTCTGCATGGCACCATACTTCGTCTGTTGGAAAGTAATGAGGATAATTTGGGTAGGGCAAACATGTTACATGTTCAAATAGTCTTTATGGGTGTGGGGTACAAGAAAATCAGTTCTTTGATGCTTACGTACGTGTAAGATGCTTAAGTATAAGAAATACGTTTACATGCATGCAGTTGAAATAGCTAAAACAGTTACTCAGGTCAGAAGGATCATATATACATGTATGTACATCATATACAATGTAAAGGATCGACTTCCCTGCCCCGCAAAGTCCATTATGCTTCATTATTTTCTGGCATTTTCGAGTTAACTAAAATTTTTCAATGTAAAACAAACAAGAAGCCATAGGTGACAATCCTCCGTGAAGTTTTATATATTTCAACAAAATCCCAAGCGTCAACGCCAGACCTGCTGTGCAGACATTATAATTAGGCAACGGTTAATACAATGCGGGCGCGTCACAAGCATAAAACATACAAAGAGCTAAATCCATTACTGCTCCCAGGGCGTGTAAAGATACTGTGCTTCAAGTTCGAAGTTCATTTTAATTACACACACACAATCATTGCATTCACATAAAGATCGGACTATCATGGTCGTGTCTAGTAACAAAGACAGCCCCACAGTCTTACCGTGCCTGTACCTAATTAAGCGCGCCTGGAACAGGCCAAATTCCAGCAACAGTCGCGGCCAGCACCGCGAGTGTTACTACCGCCGGCCAGATAACCAGGATATCTGCTTAGAGTACCTCTGCTACCAGACAACTGCCACGATGGTCAGATTTGGGCCCAAAAGTCCCACTCCGCTACTATGGAGATCGAATCCCCCGAACCCGCGAATCTTGTTCGATATGACGTCATTCGAATAGAGCGGGCGTTCGATCTGGGGTTACCCGCGGTCATTTACAGTAAAGCCGCTACAACCGGCTACTTCAAGCCCTTTTTTACTTGGGAACCACGGAACAGGAAAAATCCACCTTTCCACAAATATGAACCGTTTTCAAAACATTACATCTATGCCGTGATTTTATTGTGGATATGTAACATGTAA